TAGCGGTTGAGTCAGGAGAGGTCTGCTGCGCCATGTGGGTCAGCTCCCTGGCTGGGAATCGAACTCATGCTACAGTGGCTGCAGATAGCTTGATAGCACTGAGACTTAACTCTGTGACACTAGGGAATGCCCTCATCCTGTTTCTTTACTTGATAAGACATCTTTCTTGAGCATCTACTATGTGTAAAACATTGGACTATCCAAATTTGAAAGAATCATGATTTTAAATAAGTCTCAATTCAAAGCATGGAGAAGAAAGGCATACAACTGCAGAGAGATGAGGAAGGCTTCCTGGAGAGCACAACATCTGAAGGATCAAGAACAGGAAGTACATGCTTGCTGCAAACCAGAAGGCAAGCCAAGCATAAGTTTTCTTCTTCTCTGCTTTGGCCTCTCCAATCAAAGATATGATAAAAATAGTGATAGCCACAAACATGGATTGGTCATTGTTCTTAACCCTTGCAATATGCCACTTAATCCTATCATAGTGAATAATGTAGGCCTAAGTATTATTCCCACTTTACGAATGCACTAATGTGTAACTAAGACACAGTCTAGGTAATTTGTCCAAGGTCACACACCTGGGAAATGAAAAGTCTCTCTTGTTTCGGCTTCCTTCCCAGGGGAACTGCCATTCGCCAACCCTACAAGGCCCAGGTAGGTCATACTGACTCTAGCATAAGGCAGGACTAACTCAGAACACAAGGACCTGGCAGAGTTGACTGAAGTCCTCTCTGGAGGACACATAAAGGTGCAACTGATGGGGAACACTTCCACAAAAGGACATTATCAGCAATGTGAAAAAAACTTACTGAATAGGAGAAAATATTTGCAATTACATATAAATGTAATAAAGGATTAGTATTCTGAATATATAATGAAGTCTACCAACTTAAAAACAACCCAAATACAAGATGGGCAAAGGACTTGAATAGATATTTGTCCAAAGATCTTTAACAAGCAAGTGAAAAGATGCCACAAACCATTAATTAGGGAAATATCTAATCAAAAATGTATCACTTCAAACACACTAAAAAGACCATTAAAAAACGGAAACAGGGCCTCCCCTGGTGGCACAGCAGTTGAGCACTGGGCTGCGAAGCTGCCCGCAGCCTCTGCAGCGCCAGTTCAATCCCCGGCCACCTCCGAGGGTCCCACATGGTGCGATAGACCTCTCTTGCCGCGCCCGCTGCTCCCCTCAGCAGTATATTTCGTCAGTCTGCCTGTTCTGCTCCCCACTCTGATGAATTCTTTCATCCTCCTATGCTTCTGACTGTACCCAGTGCTTGTATAAATAAATAAATAAATCTTTAATTAATAATAATAAAAAAAAACCTGAAACAGAGCCTCCCTGGTGGCGCAAGGGGTTAACACACAACCTATGAAGCTATCGGCAGCCGCTGCAGCATGAGTTCAATCCCTGGCCAGGGGAGCTACCCATATGGCGCAGCAGACCTCTACTGACTCGCCTGCTGCTCCCCTCAGCAATGTATTTCAATCAATCTGCTTGTTCTGTTCCCCACTCTGTCTCTGGTGGATCCTCTCACCCCCCACACCTCTGGCCTGTACCCCAGTTCTTATATGCATAATCTTTTAAAAAAACATTGAAACAACTGGGCCTCCCTGATGGTGCAAGGGGTTAAGTCTCAGCACTATGAAGCTATCAGCAGCCACTGCAGCACAGCACGAGTTTGATTCCTGGCCAGGGAGATTACCCTACATGGCGCAGCATACCTCTCCTGTCTGTAAAATAAATTTATTTTATTTATTTTTTAAAAGATTTATTTTTAAACAAGAGATTGTTTACAGGCCAGAGGCACGGGAGGGTGACAGAGCGAGGAGCAGAACAGGCAGATGACCAAAATACACTGAGGGGAGCAGCGGGCGCGACAGAAGAGGACAGGAGAGGTCTGCCGCAACATGAGGGATTCTCCCCAGCCGGCCGGGATTGAACCCACACTGCAGAGGCTGCGGACAGCTTCACAGCATGGCGCTTAACCCACTGAGCTACTGGGGAGGCCCAAAAATAATTTTTTAAAAATTGAAACAATAACAACAAAAAATAACAAATGTTAGCAAGAATGTGGATGAGCCAGAACTCTCACATGCTGTTTGGTGGAATAAAGGACTGAAGTTACAGCTTTTGGGGAGGAAGATCACAGAGGTAAAGTACTCTTCTCCCCATTGATAGTATACACTATCAACCTGATTTATCACTGTTGATGTTAACCCTGGTCACCTTGTTGAGAGGTGCCTGTCAGGTTTCTCCACTATGGTGTGATTCTTTTTGCTTCCTTCCCATATACGACGACTCTCTGGGGAAAAAAAGTCACTATGCACAGTCTACACTTAAGGAAGGGGAGTTATATTCCACCTCCTTGAGGGCAGAGTATCTACATAAACCATTAGCAATTTTGCCTTAGATTGACTCCATCTATTTATTCAATCACATAGACTCATGAATTTTACACTTTGGGTTATAAACCAAATACTACTTTATCTTGTGACAAAATATATTTTATTTTCCAGCACTGGTCATCGGGAGCTCTTCCAATCGGTCCTGTGTCCCTTCAATATACACTGTATTTTATTTTTAAAGATTTATTTATTTATGCATACAAGAGCTGGGGTACAGGCCAGAGGTGCAGGGGGTGAGAGGATTCACCAGAGACAGAGTGGGGAAAAGAACAGGCAGACCGACTGAAATATACTGCTGAGGGGAGCAGCGGGCAAGACAAGAAAGGTCTGCTGCGCCATGTTGGTAGCTCCCTGGCCGGCAGGGGATCGAACTTGTGCTGCAGAGGCTTCTGATTGCTTCACAGTGTGGTGCTTAATCCCTTGCACCACCAGGAAGACCCTACACTGTATTTATTTTAAACTGACTTCTCTTCCCAACCAGACTCAGAGGCAGTGAGGTCTATCTGCCAGGCACACTGTAAATGTTTAATAAATATGTGCTGAATATGAACAGAGTAAAGAACATTTAGGTTCCTTGATGTAGGGAGGAGATGCTTGTGCTGTCCTGCCCAAAGCTGGAGTTTCCCTATTTTCCATCCTTTCTCATTCTCAGCAGTGATGAGTCAATCAATAAAGCATTCCTCTCAATCACAGGATTTGAGATGGGAACAGGGAAGTGCTGCCATTCAAAGTCAATTGGGCCCCTGCTCATCCACCCTAGATTGGATGTTGCAAGAACATGATGATAAATAGACTGACGCCACTGTTCCACAGATCTAGTAGAGCAGAGTTGAGCAGAGAGGGCAGAGTTGAGTGACGGATTCCTGAGGTCCAAACCAAGTTTGGTCTGAGTCAATCTTGAGGCCCCTGAGTGTGACTCTGATGAGCTAAAAAAATTCTCCCTCATTTTCTTTGGATTGAGTCTGTTCCTTATAACTAAAACAGTCCTTACCACTTCTGTTTATTGGCCTGTATTCTTATCAAGGATAGTCAATGGAGGTGAGATAACTGACCATTAAGCTTCATGATCCCGGGTGAGTGCATTACGGGCTAGGTTTCTTTCTCAATCCATCAGGGAATGGAGATTCCAATCAGAATGAGAAAAAAAGGACAGTACTCTGATTCCTGAGCCCTCAAGTCTGTACAGCTACTTACCATCATCATCCCAACCAATGAAGGGCACTAAAGAAATTTAAAGAAATCCCAAACAAGTAAACTCCCTGGCCGCTATCTCACCAAGCGTCTAATTTTCATCATCAGTCCCCCTGAACTCTACCAGTCACAAAACATCCACACAACACAGACTACCTTGTTGTGTCTGGGAACCATGGCTTCCAGTATGCGATTTAACTGCATCAAGAAATTAACGAAGGCAAAAGATTCGAACCAAGAAGGTTCCATAGTGAGCCAATGATCAAGTTGGTACATGAAGTTACTGAACTGGTTTCTGCCAGCATCAGACCATGCTCTCTCTGACTTTGATGGGCAGAACCCCATGAAACCAGGGTTGTGTACTTCCCATTGTCATATGTAGTTGTAACACACAGTGATCTTACCAGTATGTCTCTAGTTCAGTAAAAGCACAGCCAGTTTACCTGGCTGCTACAATATACCCAGAAAGGAATTAGGAAGGAATGTGCAATAATTGCCAGAAGTAAGAAAGGAAGATTTGTTCATTAAGCTTCCTTTTTCCCTCCTCACCAACAGACGTGGCATGTCCAGTACCCATCCATGGAACCAAGGCATAACATGTGAAGGAAGGACACCTCATTCATTAACTGGCAAGTAAAAGGTTGAGAGATAAGTTAGCCATGCTCAAGATTTCCAAATAATGAATCCAAAGTTATGGAGAGGTAGGTCCTGCACCTTAGACTCTACTACAGAGATTGTTTCTTCCTCTTTTACATCTGTAAAAAGCTCAGAGACAGTCAACTGAGTATGGCCTAGAAGAAGCAAGTTAGTAGACCTGTAGTTTTAGTCTGTCATTGATCTCACTTAATCTAAGTAATCGAGGCAATTTATCACCCTGGGCCCCAGGTTTGATTGTAAAAGAGATTTTTAAAAAAATAACCTGTACATTTTATCTGACAGCATTGCGAAGATAAAAATAGACCTAATATATCTGAACAAAATCAGGTGCACATGACAAGGATTAGAGGGTGATGGGACTCTGACAATAGGACATTCTTTAGGGATACTGTGATAGTCATAACCACCCAGGGCTAAAGAGATGGCCTGATGCCTTGGCACTGCCTGACACCTGCACAACCCAAAGTATGAACCCAGAATCAGCTGGCAACAGCTATGACCGCCACAGATCCCAGTTTTTAAGAATAAGCATGCTTCTGCACCATCCGTTGTTTCTTTTCAAAAAAGGTTATTCATTAATGTGTAACTATTTTTGATGCCTTTATAAAGCTGCCATAGTACATTTATTCAACAATAGAAAGCTAACCATCTTCAGTCTCACAAGATCCCTGCCTTGGCCAATCTCCACTCAATTCCCAGGGCTCTCCTCAGCAACACACTGGTTGAGCACTTACCCACTCTGGCTGCTCAGAAGGCTCTCCTGGCTTACGGTTAGCAGCCACAGGTGGGGGCGAGTAATCCTTCACAGGAGTGGTGAATTCCACAGGTCCTGTTCCTGGCAAGGGGAGTTTCAGCAGTGGGTAGCTGAAATGAACACAAAGGAGAAAAGAGTCAGTGGATGCATCAAGTCTGTGCTGAGATACAGTGCCTCAGGAACCACTGCAGATGTATAAAATTCCTGCTATGAAGACTCCACAAATATACAAAATACTAGAATCCTAAAATAAAATTTCAGAACTAGAAGGAAATTCAGAAGTTACCTAAGTTAGAATTTTTCAAATTTATTTTTAGTCATAAGAAAGTCCTATTCATAAAATAGGCTTAAAAGTTTTAGACTTAAAGATGCTTAAAAAAAAAAAACAGAAACTTGGGCCTCCCCGGTGGCACAGCAGTTGAGCACTGGGTTGCGAAGCTGCCTACAGCCTCTGCAGCACCGGTTCATTCCCCGGCCGCCAGGTGAGGGTCCCACACAGCACACAGATCTCTCCTGCCGCCCGCTGCTCCCGTCAGCAGTGTACTTTGTCGGTCTGCCTGCTCTGCTCTCCGCTCACTCTGGTGAATTCTCTCACCCTCCTGCGCTTCTGACTGTACTCAGTGCTTGTATAAATAAATAAATCTTAAAACAAAACAAAAACAACTTGTCAAATTAGATAAAAGGAAATAATAAAAGGGCAACCTATGATGTTATCTGCAGCCTATGATGCTACCTGCAGCACGAGTTCGATCCCTGACCAGGAAGCTACCCACATGGCACAGCAGACCTCTCCTGACTCACCCACTGCCCCCCTCAGCAGTGTATTTCAGTACATATGCCTGTTCTGTTCCCCACTCTGTCTCTGATGAATCCTCTCAGGCCCCACACCTCTGGCCTGTACCCTAGTACTCGTATGCATAAATCTTTTAAAAAAGGAAATAATAAAAAATTTAAGTTAAAGATTATAAAAATTCAGAAGGACCTCAATTCAGATTGTTGAGCAACTGCTCCAATTTAAAAGGACAGATGGGGGCCTCCCTGGCGGTCTAGGGCTAAGTCTCGGCACTATATTCACTTTGGCCTGAGTTCGATCCCCAGTCATGGAGCTAATCCCCAGCCATGGATTAGACATACCTCACATTAGACAGGTCTGGCTCACTGCTCCCCTCAGCAATGTATTTCAGTAAATCCACCTGCTCTGTTCCACACTATGTCTCTGATGAAGCCTCTTACCACCCAAACCTCTGGCCTACACCCCAGTTCTTCTATACAAAAATAAATAAAATCGGGGCCTCCCTGGTGGCGCAAGGGCTTAATCACAGTACTGCGAAGCTATCCGCAATCTCTGCAGCATGAGTTCGATCCCTGGCCAGGCAGGGAGCTACCCACATGGCGCAGCAGACCTCTCCTGGCTCTCCCACTGCTCCCTTCAGCAATGTATTTCAGTTAGTCTGCCTATTCTGCTCCCCACTCTGTCTCTAGTGAATCCTCTCACCCCCTGCACCTCTGGCCTGTACCCCAGTTCTTGCATGCATAAATAAATAAATCTTTAAAAAAACTCTTAAAAAAATAAATAAGTAAAAGGACAATGAAAACTGTGTATAATCCATTGAGGGTATGGATAACACTAGACCACACTGAACAGAAGTCAACAGACCCACTATATATGAAGGGAAAACCTTGGCTTTATAGCAAAAAAGCTGGCGAATGGATGTACATTTTGTTTGTTTTTAAAGCTACTTTTTTTTTTTTAAAGATTTATTTATTTATGCATACAAGAGCTGAGGTACAGGCCAGAGATGCAGGGGGTGAGAGGATTCACCAGAGACAGGGTGGGGAACAGAACAGGCAGACTGACTGAAATACACTGCTGAGGGGAGCAGTGGGTGAGTCAGGAGAGGTCTGCTGTGCCATGTGGGTTGCTCTCTGGCCAGCCCAGAATCGAACTCGTGCTGCAGAGGCTTCAGATTGCTTCATAGTGCGGTGCTTAATTCCTTGTGCCACCAAGGAGGCCCCAAAGCTACTTTAAAAAAAAAAATAACTGGGCCTCCCCAGTGGCGCAGCGGTTGAGCGCTGGGATGCTAAGCTGCCCGCAGCCTCTGCAGCGCCGGTTTGATCCCCGGCTGCTCCCGGCCACCGGAGGAGGGTCCCACATGGCACGCAGACCTCTCCTGCTGCCCGCTGCTCCCCTCAGCAGTGTACTTCGGTCCTTCTGCCTGCTCTGCTCCCCGCTCTGGCTCTGGTGAATTCTCTCACCCTCCCGCGCTTCTGACTGTACCCAGTGCTTGTATAAATCAATCAATCAATCAATCAATCAATCAATCTTTAAAAAAAAAATAACTTACATAGAACTTTTATAGTACAATTCACAAATCATTAAGTATACAGTACCATGAATTTTTACATATGCATAAACCTGTGTAACTATCAAAATCAAGCTATAAAACATTCTAGAACTTCAAAAGGCAGCCTTTGCTTTTTTTAAAAAAGATTTATTTATTTATGCAAACAAGAAATTGGGGTGTAGGTCAGAGGTGTGGAGGGATGAGAGGATTCACCAGAGACAGAGTGGGGAGCAGAATAGGCAGAGTGACTGAAATACACTGCTGAGGGGTGAAGCGGGCGAGACAGGAGATGTCCACTGTGCCATGTGGGTAGCTCCCTGGCAGGCCGGGGATCAAACTCATGCTGCAATGGCCGTGGATAGCTTCATATTGCTGCAACTTAACCCCTTGTGGCACCAGGGAGGCCCACCAAGTCCTTTTCAAAGCTGTAACTTTTTCTCCTAGTACTACTTTCACTGCATCCCCTAAGTTCTGGTATTTTGTGGTTTTGTTTTCATCATCTCAAGGTATTTTCTAATTTTCCTTCTGGTTTCTTCTCTGACCCAGTGGTTGTTTTAAGATGAATTGTTTAATTTCCACATATCTGTGAATTTTCTGGTTTTCTTTTCATTATTGATTTTGTTTCTTTCCACTGTGATTGAAAAAAAAACCTTCATACTATTTAGTCATTAAGACATGCACATGGGGGCCTCCCTGGTGGCACAACGTTTTAAAGTCTCAGCACTATCAAGCTATGCCAGCCATTGAGGAATGAGTTCGATCCCCGAACAGGGAGCTAATCCACATGGTGCAGCAGACCTCTCCTGTCTCACCCACTGCTCCCCTCAGCAGTGTGTTTCAGTGAACCCACCTGTTCTGTTTCCCACTGTCTCTGGTGAATCCTCTCACCTCCCCACTTCTGACCTATACCCCAGTTCTTATATGCACAAAAAATTTTTAAAATCTTTGAAAAAAGTATGTGGACTAACACACGTCTGCCCTGGAAAAAGTTCCGTGTTAACTTAAGAAAAGTGTGTATTCTGCTATTGTTAGGTGGAGTGTTATATCTGTAACTGGTTTAGGTGCTGCTCAAGTCCTCTACTTCCTTACTGATCTCATCTAGTTTTAAACTTATTGAAGGTGGAGTAGTTAGGTATTATTATAGAATTGTCTACTTCTCATTTCAATTCTGTCCATTTTTGCTTTATATATTTTGGGACTCTATGTTCATAACTGCTATATCTTTTTGCTGTAGTGAGGCACTTACTGATATATAAATGCTTCTTTGTGACTTATAACCTTTTAAACATTATCTGATAATAATACAGCTACTCTAACTCTTTCGATTGCTGCTGGGCATGGAGTATCTTTTCTCATTCTTTTACTTTCAATCTGTGTCCTTATATCTAAAGGGTCTTGTAGAAGCAAACAAATAGAGTCTATCTTTTTAACCTAAACTGAAAATCTCTTTCATTTGAAGGGTTTAATCCACTTACATTTAATATGAGTACTGATAAGGAAGGGTTTATCTATGCCATTTAGTTATGTTTTCTCTGTCTTCCATGACTTCTATTCCTCAGTTCCTCTACTGTTGCTTTTTTTGTTTTGAATTTTTTGGTAGTGTGCACTGTGATTTCCTTCTCTGTGTATTTTAAAAGTTAGTTCTTTTGTGATTACACTTATTATTGTCAACTTGTAAAAATCCTAGACCAGAATATAATGCTACAGAGGGGGTTCAACTGCAGCTCTAAGCTGGCAGAAAGGATCAACAAACTCGAAAACGAGACAACCCAGTCCGAGTTTAATTTCAATACTATACAAACCCTGTTGTATACATCTTTGTCTCTCTTAAGTTGTTATTGTCACAGATTATATATACTGTATGCCTATTGCCACAGATTTTAAATAATTTTTAATGCATTGACCTGTTATATCACAAAATAAAAGTTACAAACCAAACCAAAAATAAGATGCTGGTTACCTTTACTAGTGTTCTTTATTTATTGTTTCTAGTTACTGTCTAGTGTCCTTTCATTTCAGCCTGAAAGACTTCCTTTAGGGCTTCTCATAGGGCAGGTCTACTGGTAACAAATTTCCTCAATACCTCGTTTATCTAGAAATGTCTTTTCTGCTTCATTATTGAAGGATAGTTTTATGGAATATAAAATTCTTGGTTTTGCTTTTCTTTCAGGACTTTATAAATATCTGCCTTCTGGCCTCCATGCTTTCTGGGGACACAACCACTATTAATTTTTTGAGAAACAGTCAAAAAGAGTTGCTCTTATTATTTCCAAAAGCTCAGGTTCAGCTGTTTAGACATAGGTAGCAAGGGCTGTTTTGGAATTAGCTAAGGTTCTATTGGAGAAAACACTACACGATGCAGGGGTTGACCCCCAGGCTCTGGGTGCAGAGAGGAGTCATGGGACCCAGGGCTAAGCCTGCTGGATCCATAGCTCCACTACAAGATGAAGGTGGACAGTACATTTTATGTATATACATTTACTTCCAGGATAGAAACTGGTCAAAACACAATGACTAGGGCCTCCCCTGGTGGCGCAGCGGTTGAGCGCTGGGTTGTGAAGCTGCCCGCAGCCTCTGCAGCGCTGGTTCGATCCCCGGCTGCTCCCCGGCCACCGGAGGAGGGTCCCGCATGGCGCGCAGACCTCTCCTGCCGCCCGCTGCTCCCCTCAGCAGTGTACTTCGGTCCTTCTGCCTGCTCTGCTCCCTGCTCTGGCTCTGGTGAATTCTCTCACCCTCCCGCGCTTCTGACTGTACCCAGTGCTTGTAAAATAAATAAATAAATCTTAAAAAAAAAAAAAAAAAAAAAAAACACAATGACTAAACTAGTTCTCAAGATTTGAAATATTATAAACATCTCTGAATTCTAGAAGTCTAAACATTCCAGCAGTCAATGCCCCGGAACACCTACAGGGAGCTGGTCATTTGGGCTCTCTAGTCTTTAGGGCAGGAGTCAATGGTGCTTTCAGACTTTATTCTCAACTATCCAACATAGTTCTCCAACAGCACAAGTGAAGACAGGGCTTCAGTTACTCAGACGTCCTTCTTGTTCATGAAAAGAGAATATAAATCTGTTCAGAGAATGGACACATGGGCACAGAAAGAGGGAACCTCATACACCGCCCCTCCATGTGACAACCCCCCAAAGGGGCAATGGTGATCATGGAAAAACCTAAGATTGTGAACATCTTAGACAGAGAACATTTTCCTCCAGAGAAAGGAGGAAATGGATGGAGTGTGCTCTCAAATACCCACACAGGCTGTAGAATTATGATGCTTCAGGTGGTTTAGAATGATCTCACTAGGGTTCCAACTTGCTCTCCAAGTTAAAATATACCTTCTCTAACTATGACTAACAGATTATGGAGTCAGTGACCCTCACATTAGCCCTTGTGCACACAGGTCAGTCCTGCTAACCTGGCACCCAGGCGTTCTTCCTTTACCCCACAGTGCACCTACACTTTCAAGGGCAGCTCCAGAGCAACAGTACCCTCTCAGCCTGGGACACTGCTGGGCCAACAGCACAGATGCTAGTGTGCTAACCCATAGGAAATGTAAACAAATGTAAACACCCCTTGCCATAATGCCTACCTACTATAAATTTCATCAGATTTTCCTGGAGGAAAAAGCAATCACTGCTTCCAGGATGATGCAATAATGATGAATGGGGTCTATAGTTCAAGTGCTGCTTAAACTTAAATAAAGTTTAAGATCTGAATAAAGATACAAAGTGCAACAGTCCTTTGGGCTCAAGCTAAGCAAGCCTCTATTGTTCCAGAAACAATAAAGCTAACTAGTTAAATTGAACTAAAGTATAAAACTACTAAAAGCTGTCTATAACCCACACATTTTTTGTAGGTAACCTGGGGCTCTAGCAGAAAGGGGAGTTACTCAGGATAGAAGGGGACAGAAGGCTTTTTCCCTGAGTCCACGATCTCTGGTATCCTAGTCAGAAAGCTCCAGAATCTGTGGTTTCTCTGATACAATCTTTATCATCTTTGGAGGCTTAGAAACTTTAGTCTTGAAAGTTTTTTCCCAATTCAGATTTGAAGAAAAGTTTTTTTAAAAAACTCCTTCAACATCAATGACAAAGATGTTGGATTGGGGAAATACACAGCATTTACATGTGAGAGCACAGACTTTTTTCTCTTCAAAGAAAACAGGTGACTGCAAAGTAAAAAGGAAACCATAGTGCCATCAGAGGTTAGCACTATGAGGGTGCCATCAGAGAGGTGGCAGCAGGGTGCTTGGATGGGCATGCCAGGGCATTGCCTGTCTTCCCTGTTGGGAGGGGGGATAATGAGGTGAATGACCATGACCATCAACAGAAAAAGAGGTGAGGAATCCTTCACTCGTTCTTCCTGAAGACATCCTGACATCTCCCCTTTGCACCTACCATGCATCTTGTCCAATGACACTGTGACTGCTTTTCTCGGGCCAAGGCAATGGGGTTTTTGAGGGGAGGGACTGTGATCTGTATCACTGGCTTAGCACAGCACTTGACACATACTATAGCTTCCTTTAATGAGATGACTTAAAACCAAACTTCTACTCTCCCAGTGACAGAGTCACTGGGTCTCAAAAGGCCTGTGTTCTCTCTCTAGGCAGAACCTGCCGGGCCCTGCTCCTGGCCAGTGCACTGGGGACCCTCGTTCTCAGGCTCCTTGTTCAAGGAACAAATTCTCTGCAATGAAAGGCATCAGCACCAATGTTCCTTAAGGAAGTTCATATCTCCATGGTGAAGTGGCGAAAACACAGATTTTTATCTGCCACACACAAATGCCAGTTGCAGCACTTAACACTAGTTCCCCAAGCTAGTTTCATCTTTAAAAGAGACAGTAACAACGGGGATGTTAGCTAATCACATGAAAAACATGAGTGAAAGCACCTAAGAACCTACAAAGCTGGTTTTCATCAAGGATTAGTCTTCCTTTCCTTTCCATGAGTCAAAGCCTACCCTGAGTCTCACTCACCCACCCCTTTCTCAGGGCTGATGTTCAGGCATGAGTACCGGTGGGGTATGAGGCAGGCATCTGTGCTACCTTGGCTGTTAAATATTGCTATCACCCTTGCCTCTCCTTAATCTTCCATTCCATTCTAATTCACCATGAGATGAAATGTCCTCCACATTTGAGACCTTAGTCATCTCATAAAGTTTTCACACCAGAAGCCCCCATGTCATAAATCCAAGGATAGTCTGTTTTGAAACACTTGTGCTATTGTCAAATTATTCATTCAAGATAAGACACAGCTCTACCCAAGCAGCTGCTGGGTACATTCCCTGTCCAGGAAGCTGCCTGATCCCAGGAGCTACACCTGATCCCCAGAAGACAAATGGCAAAAGGAAAACATTCTTCTTATTTCCTGTAGCTAGAGCTGTCTTTATGGAAGGAAATCACAATCACATCTTCACTTAAACTGCCCACAGAAAATACAAGTTTAATTCAAATGTATTCATTTATTACATATGATCATATTCTCATGTGCAAAGGCATATACAAAAAGATCATCAGGGGCCTCCTTGGTGGTGCAGCGGTTAAAGTCTCAGCACTATCAAGCTATCGCCAGCCACTGCAGCATGAGTTCAATCCCTGGCCAGGGAGCTAACCCACATGGCGAAGCTAACCTCTCCGGTTTCACCTGCTGCTCCCCTCAGCAGTTTATTTTTTTTTAAGATTTATTTATTTATTTATACAAGAACCTGGGTACAGGCCAGATGTGCGGGAGGGTGAGAGGATTCACCAGAGACAGAGTGGGGAACGAACAGGCAGACTGATGAAATACACCACTGAGGGAAGCAGCAGGCGAGACAGGAGAGGTCTGCTACGCCATGTGGGACCCTCGCTGGCCGACCGGGATTGAAACCATGCTGCAGAGGCTGCAGACAGCTTCACAGCGTGGCGCTCAACCACCTGTGCCACCAGGTGAGGCCCCCCTCAGCAGTTTATTTCAGTAGATCCGCCTGTTCTGCTCCCCACTCTGTCTCTGGCGAATGTTCTCATTCCCCACCTCTGGCCTATACCCCAGTTCTTGTATGCATAAATAAATAAAAATAGATCTTTAAAAAAAGGTCATCATGGAACTGAGAATTTATTGGAAGGGGAACTGTCCCATCCCCTCAACTGAAGGCAATACAAGTGGTAATAACCATGAATGCTACGCAAACTGCTGCCCCAGAGATCAGAATAAAAGAGGAATATTTTTGGCTGAGATGTGTAAGAACTTCAGAAATTCTCAAGAAAGAACACTATGGGGCTCTGTGCCCAGTCCAGACAAGGAATGAAAGCAGCTACAGCTCTCACAACAGTCCATGGAGAGCACAACAGGTCCTGAGAATCAGTGAGAGGTCAGAAGGAGGTTCCATGTGAACACAAGAAAATGATTAGAAAGCAAAGAATCAAGTATCTGGGCTTAGCCTGCAAAAGGGTGTCCAAGGAATTGTTCAAACTGACTTTGCCTTGTAACACTCCTCCTCTTAGTAACAAAAAGGAGACTGACACTGTTGAGTAGGAAAATTAAAGTAGGAAAATTAAAGATTATACCATTTAACTGTCTCGTGGTTTATTATGTTACTTTGAGATAGGTTAACAATGACATGAACAAAAGTGGCGAATCACTAAGTCACGGCCAACCATGACTATTTTAGGTCAGTGGATAAACACCCCAGGTCCAGAGCTCTCCACCCAGTAGCTGCCATCGGCATCAAGTTCCACTGTATAAAAATCATACATATCTAATGGCTACACAACAGACAGGGTTAGGAAATGTATTGTCCCAAGGCACTGCCCCACCATATCCAAGGCAACTTGGAAACATACCAACAGGCTAAGATGCAGAATCCCGTGAAGAGGATGATGGGGATGGGGTAGGATGCACACAGCAGTCCATGATTATAGAAGGCTTGAGATATCTTCTCACGCAGCCTTTCAGTCAGGGTCATCCTCAGCTGAAGTCACCTTGCTGCCATCCCGTAAAGTGACCATGGATCAGCCTGGCACACATTGGACACCATCTGCAGATACCTAGCAAGAAGGAAGAAAAGCCAATTAACAAAAGAATACTTGGCTCTCTACACTAGAGATCCTGGGGGAGGTAGCCACATCCCCCAGTGATGTAGGGCAAGGGAATATTTCAGATGCCTACACACGAAAGTCTACAGACATCCATCCCAACACACACACACACACACACACACACACACACACACAAAATCTTGGTTAGGTCTCAGTGACTGTGGCAGTTTTAAATTGGTCACACCAAAAAAGCCAAACTGCCCCTCTAGATCTTGTAACTCTCAACTCTCTTCCACGGCAGGTACATCTAAAAGGCGACAACCTAGAGACAGCATTTTTCTCACACGTGGCACAGAAAAGCATGTCTGTGTAACAGACTTCACCTTCAACTGCATTCTGCCAAATAGATGTTCTGGACACCCTCCCCACCTTTCTTTGTACAGAGACCAGATTAAAAGCAATGCTTGGGAAAAACCTTTACACAAGGCTAACCTTTCAAAAAACACATTCCTGCACAATGATTCATTGATAGGGAATGTTTAGTGGAGTCAATGCTCAACATAAAAATACCAAAAAGTTTAGGGCCCTGTTTAGAAGTCACAAACAAAATTCACTCTGGCAGCAATACTAGGAGGAAGTTTCCTGGTCCTGCAGTTGTTCCTGGGCACATGAGGGCAAAGCCCTTTCCCTATCTCCCACCCAGGTTCCAGCATCTGTCTCTTTCTCTGAGCAACAGCAGCCAGATAAGGTTCAGAGGAATCACCTCTTTCCAGTGGATCTGGCCCGGACAGACTGTCAGTCAAGATGCCCCTCCCTGACTTGTGTCAGCCCCATTGGGCCTCTCTTCCTGGACTCTGACTTCTCAGTAGAAAGGAGAACTGGCTATGATGGTGTTTCTTCACCCCCAGGAGGTTCCTACTCCCAAGATTGTGTGTTGCTCTGGCTTCAATCATTCCGAAGATGAAACTCATCAGTTTTTCTGTCCAGTCTGTAAGTCACATCATATCCCCCAATAAATCCTCTTTTTTGTTTTTTGGATAATTTCTGTTGTCTGCAAGCAGAGAACTTTAAGCCAATATAACCAGAATAGAGGGAGCTTGAAATATCTAGAATTCCCTCCCTTACTGAACTCTCTAATGGAATCCAAGTTTAAATCCACTTCTGTTCCATGTTGCTATTTCCTTTGGTCTGTGCTACAGAGAACCTGCTCAGACATGTCTTGCTAAATTAGCTGCAGTGATGAAAGCCCCAACCAAAGAGATGACTCCTCAGAAGTGTCAAGACCAGAAATGAGAGCCAAAAGGAGTCACATCACATCCAATTCACAAGAACGAATATGTACTATGCCTTCCACCTTGCTAAAAGCCAAGACATGAGCCCATGTGCAATTCTCCAGTCCAGAAACATTCTAAAGAAATACAAAGGGCCTTCCCGGTGGCGCAGCGGTTGAGCGCTGGGTTGCGAAGCTGCCCGCAGCCTCTGCGGCCCCGGTTCGATCCCCGGCTGCTCCCCGGCTGCTCCCCGGCCACTGGAGGAGGGTCCCACATGGCGCGCAGACCTCTCCTGCCGCCCGCTGCTCCCCTCAGCAGTGTACTTCGGTCCTTCTGCCTGCTCTGCTCCCTGCTCTGGCTCTGGTGAATTCTCTCACTCTCCTGCGCTTCTGACTGTACCCAGTGCTTGTATAAACAAAACAAAACAAACAAACAAATAAATAAATAAATGCCTCTAAAAAAAAAAGAAATACAAAGACCTAGCTGTAGATCCATGCAATAGGAGGGGCCATCAGGTGGCCACACTATCCAAAGAGCAGAGGTATTCACAGTAGCTCAACCATTTACAAGGCTCACCTGGAGCATGATGGTTAAAGACATGATCTGCAGTAAGGGATCAGTGACAGTGTTCACCCACCCTGTATCTCGCTCCCAGGGGGAAACAAACACTAATGAGCTATGCACCTGTGGAGAGACACCATCAAGAGGATCACTGAAGACTGATGGCCACAGATCAGCTATCACTTTCCCAACCTTGTTCTTCTGATAAGCCATCTCTTCCCTTAAGTGTTTCAAAGATAACCCCTCGGGAAATTCTTATCCCGCTAATCCCAATCTCCTTTGGTTCCTCCTGCACCACACATCAGTAACAGAGCAGGGCAGTAGGGAACTACCTTTGTAGTTCAGTTCTTACAGATAAAAACTATAAATACAAGAGGAAAAAACCCTATTTCATTCACCTCCATTTTGCAAAAAATACAAATCTTTTTCACATGATCTCAGTAGTTTTGTGGCCTCCATCGATACTTATCAGTTATATTAACTGCTATTTTTCACAGCACCTAGAAAATAAAGCTAAAAAAATCCAAAATCTAGCTCATATGTAACCCATACACCTGAACAGCAAGACACAATTCATGTCTACTTGACCATATACATTTCTTTTTTTTTTTTTTTTAAAGATTTATTTATTTATTTATACAAGCGCTGGGTACAGTCAGAAGCGCGGGAGGGCGAGAGAATTCACCAGAGCCAGAGTGGGTAGCAGAGCAGGCAGAAGGACAGAAGTACACTGCTGAGGGGAGCAGCGGGCGGCAGGAGAGGTCTGCGTGCCATGTGGGACCCTCCTCCGGTGGCCTGGAGCAGCTGGGGATCGAACCAGCGCTGCAGAGGCAGCGGGCAGCTTCGCAACCCAGCGCTCAACCTCTGCGCCACCGGGGAGGCCCGACCATATACATTTCAATACAAAGATATTCCAAAGCAAATTTTACCCACCCTGAACCAAAAACCTGTTTTTCTTACATTGCCCCACACTTACAGATTGCTTCAGATCAAAACCTACAGCTCCGCTTCTTGCATTTAAAGAAACACAGCATGTGCTAAGGATGGAAGCTTTGAGGCCTGAGTGACCACATTAAACATAACTAATCCTGCTGCCTTCTTTTACAGGAGATGGATTAGAAGCAGAAACAATAGAGCTTATCATTGCATCCTCAAATTATATAGATGTACACACAAAGAAAAAATAACTAGAAAAGTTCTGAGGAAATATACAGAAAGGACATGTACAAATCAAGTCAGACCGGGCCTCCCTGGTGGCGCAAGGGGTTAAGACGCAACCTATGGGGCCTCCCCGGTGGCGCAGCGGTTGAGCGCTGGGTTGCGAAGCTGCCCGCAGCCTCTGCAGCACCGGTTCCATCCCCGGCTGCTCCCCGGCCACCAGAGGAGGGTCCCACATGGCGCGCAGACCTCTCCTGCCGCCCGCTGCTCCCCTCAGCAGTGTACTTCGGTCCTTCTGCCTGCTCTGCTCCCCGCTCTGGCTCTGGTGAATTCTCTCACCCTCCCGCGCTTCTGACTGTACCCAGTGCTTGTATGCATGTATGTATAAATAAAAACAAACAAATAAATAAATCTTTAAAAAAAAAAAAAAAGACGCAACCTATGAAGCTGTCCACAGCCTCTGCAGCATGAGTTCAATCCCTGGCCCCCCATGGAGCAACCCACATGGCGCAACAGACCTCTCCTGACTCACCCGCTGCTCCCCTCAGCAGTGTATTTCAGTCAATCTGCCTGTTCTGCTCCCCACTCTGTTTCTGGTGAATCCTCTCACCCTCCACACTTCTGGCCTATAACCCAGTTCTTGTATGCATAAATAAATAAATCTTTTTTTAAAAAAATCAAGTCAGACTCACTGGCTCTGAAGATAAAGGGCACTAAGGAATGAAGTGAGTCCATGAGAGCAGATTGTGGAGACAGGCTCATTCCACTTTTTAAGCTATTTTAAGGTGCCATGATCCTCAACTTACCCAATGAGATAATAATATGCAAGGTTTTTTGGCTTTATTGTTTTTTTTTTAAAGGAGACTTTTTTTTTTAAAGATTTATTTTTATTTACTTATTTTATTTATTTATGCAAGCACTGGGTACAGTCAGAAGCGCCAGAGGGTGAGAGAATTCACCAGAGCCAGAGCGGGGAGCAGAGCAGGCAGAAGGACCGAAGTACACTGCTGAGGGGAGCAGCGGGCGGCAGGAGAGGTCTGCGCGCCATGTGGGACCCTCCTCTGGTGGCGGGGGAGCAGCCGGGGATTGAACTGGCGCGGGCAGTTTCGCAATCCAGCGCTCAACCGCTGCGCCACCAGGGAAGCCCCTGTTTCTGTTTTTTTTTTTTTTTTTTTTTTTTTAATTTTATGTTTGCATAGAAGAACTGGGGTATAGGCCAGAGGTGTGGGAGGTGAGAGGATTCACCAGAGACAGAGTGGGGAACAGAACAGGCAGACTGACTAAAATACACTGCTGAGGGGAGCAGCAGGAGAGACAGGAGAGGTCTGCTGCGCCATATGTGTGTTAGCTCCCTGGCCAGGAATCGAACTTGGGCCTTAGCAGTGATAGCACGGAAATTTAACCCCTAGGCCATCAGGGAGGCCCAGGTTTTTTTTTTTGTTTTTTTTTTTTTTTTAAACACACACACACCATGTTAACATAAGACCTGTTTTTAAAAATGGCCTATTTATTTTGTGTCTGTATTCACCAAATTGCTAGCATTTCAAATTTTTTCATACATATAAAAATCAACCAAGAAAAATCAATGAACCAATGGAGATGGAAAGAGATTTTATACTTTTATATATATATACACACATATACACATACATACATACACAAATATATATATGAATGAGAGACACTGCAGGCTCTGTCCCAAAGCTTTCCAGAATCATCTATTGAAAATTATTTCCATTTTCTCCAAGTTTCAGCCACACTGAATCTATCATGCTTGTTCTTACAATTATTTTTGGTTCATTTGACTTTTGTTGTTTCTACCATAAATGTTTAATGACTCCCATTTCTCTGAAACAAATGCCTAGAAGTGAAACTGTTGGGTAATATGTTTAAGTTTTCTAAGACATTGAGCAAAACTATTTTCAAGAGTGTTTATACCATTTTACATTCTCAACAGCAGCAAGTGAAAGATTTCTTTGCTTCCTTGCCAGCATTTGTTATGGCCTTTTATTTCCTTCA